GATTGTCGCGCACAATGTTGCAGAGAATGGGGTTCTCCGAGTGTCAGTGTAGAGCATCGGCAATCCATCTGCTTGCTGTACCTTTTAGTTTGTTTGACGAGGCCACGGGACGCGACTCGTGAATTGGCCCTACCGGAAAACTAATTTTGTGACTGCTGATTTGGCTCTATTTCTGTGTCCACGATGCACTGTTTTGCCGCCTCGATTCGTCCCTGCTGACCTCTGTTCTCCTCTGCCCAGCTATGATGGGCATCGTCGCGCCTAAAAACAGGCATTCACAGGCAAAATGATCAATTCGTAAAGTTGAAAAAAGATGAATACATGAAGAGCAAGATGTTGTGGCCTCTGGTATGATCGCAGTCTCCTTTCGATTTATAAAATTGGGTTGACCTCGTCGGCGCAACTTGTTCTTGTTTTCACCTAGTCCGAAGTCGTCTGCCAGAGTAGTTGTCAGCATTCCCAACATCAGACAGTGGATTTGGTACATTGTTTGCGACTCGAGTCCACTCACTTTTCATAGAGAAAATGAAGCTGCTTCAACAGCAATTTGCTGGTGGCTGCTTTGTGGCGCACGACTGCAACTTCTCTTGTCCGAATCCGACCTTCAAAGCATGGGTGGGACCCAAGTACGCCAAAGTTCCATACAGAATACTTTATGCTCTTCTGAACCGCCTATTCTCTGTTCAGAGGTCAGTATAGCCCCCTAGTCCGGGCATACTCAGCAAATCAGTCTTTCATGACTTGGTTAAGGTGAAAAGTGAAATAATCACATCTCAGCCTGCCTCCTACGACGCTGCCGAAGAAGAACTTGTGTCGGTTGGAGCTGCTGCAGGTACAGACATTTGAAAGACTAAACTTTACATCGAGCATATGAGAATGAAAGTTGGGTTTCGAGGAATCTCCTGATTTATACTTTTTAAGATTACTTTCATTTCGAATGAGAGTATTTAATGCATAGTTTCGCAGGTGGACACCATCAGGAGATGATGGTGGAGTCCTCAGGATCAGCTGACGATTGGCTTTACTGAAACATTCTTTTTGGCACTATTTTTCAGGCATTCTCCTTCGGTTCGTCTGTCCAATGACGAACCGCATCAGAGCAGATGACATCACCTTACAACCGTATTCAAGAAAGCCAGTCAAGAAAATTCACCAGCTCATCCAAAAATGCTGTACATACATCATATATATATCTATATCTATATATATATATATATATATATATATGTGGCGTAAAGTTATTCTGTTAGTTCACGTTTTATGTCGAGCTAAAAATATGTGCGTGTGTCTGCTTGTGTGCCTTCACAGAGGGGTACAATGTCCAGTTTATGGCCGCACTACTGCGACTCGGTATCTTGAGACGTTAACTTGAATATGGTTGTAAGATTGCAATCTTGCTAAGTTGATGCCCTTCACAGGATTGAACAACCTTTCATCGGAATCTAAGGAGGTTGCCTTGGAAACAGCGTCCACAAGAATTTTCCAGTAAATCCAATCGGCGTCTGGTCAAGCAGAATCTGCCGGCGTCTTCTGGTGGGATAGATCTTCGAGTCTCTTCATCCAACAACTTTTACTCGAAATGGAATTAAGCTCAACATTTGCATCGAGTCTCTTTCCCTCTTCCAACTGAAAGGTGTGTACTCACACCCGAAGTTGACGGTGGTTTTGTTCCTGTTTAAACTTTAGAAGTGGCCTCAGTAGGATTCCAGCCTTTTGCGTCAGTCTCAGAAATGAATTTCCCTCCAGTTAGAAGTTGTTTGATCTTGTTTTCGCAACTCGGTCATGTTGCTAGGACGACTTGGAGGAACGCAAGACTGGGGTTGCGTAATTTGGCATGTCTGGTTTGGTTGATAAGCTTAGTCTAACAAGTGGGTTGATCTCGTCGGCCTTGTTGGTCTTGTTGTCAGGGCGACTGTGCAGAACGCACCTAGTCCGAAGTCGTCCGCCAGAGTAGTTGTCATGATTCCCAGCATCAGACAGTGGATTTGGTACATCGTTTGAGAATGTACCAAGTCGACTGTCTGATGCTGGGAATTATGATAACTACTGTGGCAAAGGACTTCGGACTAAGTGCGTTCTGCATAGTCGCCCTGACAACAAGACCAAGTTGCGCCGACGAGGTGAACCCACATCTTAAAAAGATGCTTTTTCAATACCCAAATTTGCCTATTTTTCGTTTATAAGTAGGCTTTTGAGATTAACAATAGAGCGTATTAATGAGATGCATTCATCCTACTTCGTTCAGGGTGATAAGAGGGCTGGTAGTTGAATTTTCCCACAATCATGTGGGCAGAAAGCACATTTTCATGATCAGCTTCACTTTTCTCTTTGACGAGTTGTTATATGGTACTGAGAATGGCAAGATTCACTGACGATGTCGGCGAAACGTCTGGGAATGTACCACGTCCACGATCCGACTTTGGAAATGATGATGCATACAATGGATTCCGGATTAGGTGCGTTCCTCTAAGTCTTCCTACCAACATGAATAGGTTGCGAAAACAAGATCAAACAACTTCTATCCAACGAAAGAAGACTGCGACCACACGAAAGGTCACACCATTTTGGTCTTCATACCTTACCTCCAGTTGCTCAATATCTCGGAGAAGTTTCAGGAAATAAGTGACAGGAACCTTCAACCAATCGGGGATAAGAGGTGCATTCACGCGAGGTCGCATAAGGTCGTAAGGAACTGAGTAGACTCCAACTTTCTTAGGGAGGTCGGCACTCTAATCCATACCTGCTTGGATGAGAATAATTTTGGGAAACAAGGCAGTGTGAACTTCCATCGAAACGTGGGGTCTACTCAAATATTTGTAGGAAAATTCAACTCTCAGTCCTTCACCAATTTATGCAACCTAATGCAATGTGACGTTGTGTTCAAGATCTACGAATATTATGAAAGATAGTTGAAATGACTTTGATCTAAACTGGGCGCAAAACCTTATCAAATCAGGTTCTGAAGAGAGGTCCCCCAAATTCTTCAAGAGTAGACAAGATCGTAGAACAATTTAGGCTCTCTATACATTATCGTATAGTCTCAATTCCTCGGTAGCTTCGCGAACTCTATAGCCAACTTTGAGACTTTATGTTGATGTTGGTATCAACCAAATTATCTTTTAAAGTTGGCCAATTTAAGAGCGTTTAAGCGTAAGTGTGGCAACAACTGAATACAAATCGACGAAAGAAAGTTCATGCTTTCGTTCGAGGTCGACTTTTTGTCTACCCTTCAAGTGAGCAAAATAGGATCCCCAAGACCCCATAAACTGTGGGCACATATTTCATTGTCCTGTATCATACCCTTTTTGATTTCCTTCTCTCCCATTTCCTCCATTTCCAACGACATCGTCTTCCCGTTCGTCTGTCTGTCCACGCCGTCCACACACACACACACACAGCATCCGGAGGCAAAGGACACTTTCTTGTTGGCGTGTCGAGACACACCGACCTGCCTCTCCTGGCTTGGCGTCGGAATCGCGTGCTACCGGGTAAGTGGGACTAAAGTATCAAATCTATCGTCTGGTTGCTTGCTGGTCGCGACTGTCGTTATGCCTCGATGTCGTGTGGTGCTGCACGAGGTGACAGTGATTTGATGCCTCGATGAGTTGAAGAGAAGATTTGGTGCCATTCTCGTTTCAACTGGTCTCTAGTCTCATTACCTCCCCTAGCGGGACCTTTAACTTGCCCAATTGGTAGATGACTAGGCTGAAACCGGTCATTCTGGAGAAATTTCTGTATGAAGCTCTTCATGAGACAGAGTTTCACGTGATTAACTCTGTCCACAACAACAATTTATCATGATCGTATGAAAGTGTACGTTGAAACAAATCGTTGCTTTATTTCAGTGCGGGACGATGGCCGGCTCCACATGTTCTGCAGCCGTTCAGCTTTAATACGACTTTCAGAATCACACAGTCTACGATACCTTCTCCATAATTTTGGATATTTATATATATATATATGCTACCCTGAAATTCCTGTTTACGCAGTCCATGGGATCTCATCCTCTAGTTCCGAG